AAAAAAAAAAGAAAGAGGATTTGAGAGATTTGGGATTGGAAAGAAGACATTCCCAAACTCTTTATTTTTTTTTTCCTAATGGTTCAGCAAGGCCCCCCAAAATGGACTAACGTGGAACTGTTGAGTGCCCTCAAATTGCACTGTTTTGCAGAAAAAAAAGAGTACCAAAAAGCAGCAAGCACTCAGAAGCATATCCTCTACAGACTAGTGCAGTCCTGCAGGCCCAAACAAATCTTCCTACGTCACACAGTAAGTTCATGATGTGAGCATAAGTTGGGATTTTCCAAGTTGCTGCTTCTGTGCTGCATCCGCCGGCCATCGACACAGGGGAACAGAGGGGGACGTTTCTCCAGCCACTCTGGTTGGTGATGCCCTGCACCAGCTTTACATGATGTTGAATGGTCTTTTTATATTTTTATTATTATTATAGGGGCTTGTTTTCTTCTTTCATTGGGGAATAAGAACAGCTTGCTCTTTGACGACTGCGTTTCGAACTGCAGTGCAAGGCAGCTCTGCCTTCCCAGGCTACTTGCAAGGCCGGTTTTCCCTCCTCTCCTCCTTCCTTGACCAGCAATAGATTTCCTGTTTGGCAACAGACCTTTTTTTTTCCTTTTTTAAATTTTTTTTTTTTTATTTGACACGCTGTCTCCATTTTTGCAGTGCCACCAAGTGGCCGCCTTCTGAATTATATATATATTTTATATATATATAAATTCGCAGATTATATAAAGAATAAAATATAACGCAATCTTGCTGTGCATGGGAAGCGCGACGCTCACAGGCCACCTCTGCAAAGGGGACCCCGGTGGGACGGGTGRCAACAGGGCAGAGGGGACAGCGGCGTTTGCGCGCGTGTAGTCTAAGCTTTTTGCCCCCGCCGCGCCGCCGTACAGCGGGGATCGGCGCCCCCAGGGAAAGCCAGGACTAACGGCAAGCGGGATGGGAGGGGCGACCTGCTGAGAGCAGCCAATGAGAATAGAGCGCGGCGATGACGACGGCCAATAAACAACCCGTCAGCAACGGTCGCTTTG